TGCTAAGCTTGGTGTCCCCACTGGAGTGCTCATCGAGTGACACCTTCTCGATATTCATCGCCGACACCTTAAGTGCCCATGAACGCGCCGAGCTTCTTAATCTCCTCCAGCACTTCGCGAATTCATTCGACGTTTCTCAGCCGCAATTGGGTCTGACGTTCCGCAGTGCACCACTACATTGACACCGGGTTCGCACCAGCCATTGCGTCAAAGACGTACCGTGTCTCTGCTGCAGAACGTCACGTCATCAATGACCAGGTCGAAGAGATGCTACGCCGTCGCGTTATTCGACCATCGCACAGTCCTTGGGCATCTCCGGTCGTTCTAGTTCGAAAAAAAGATGGATCGATTTCATTTTGCGTCCACTACCGGCGATTAAACAAGGTGACGCGGAAAGACGTCTATCCATTACCGCGCATAGACGACGCCCTTGACAGCCTACAAGGAGCCGAATTCTTCTCCTCCTTAGACTTACGATCTGGATACTGGCAGGTTCCTATGGCCGAAGCTGATCGCCAGAAAACTGCGTTCATTACACCAGATGGCCTGTACGAATTTAACGTAATGCCATTTGGTCTTTGTAATGCTCCTGCCACGTTTGAACGGCTCATGGACAACACACTGCGTGGACTGAAGTGGTCTGTGTGTCTATGCTACCCTCGACGACATTGTCGTTTTCCTCTCCCGATTTTCCTACGCATCTGCTTCGGCTCCAACTGGTTCTGACGTGTTTAACCAACGCTGGGCTCCAACTAAACCTTAAAAAGTGCCGCTTCGCCGCGCGAGAGCTGTCCATCTTAGGGCACATCGTCTCCAAGCATGGTGTTCGACCCGACCCTGCAAAACTGCGAGCAGAAGCTGAGTTCCCGAAACCTACTACACTGAAAGAATTACGCAGTTTTGTCGGACTATGTTCGTACTTCCGGCGCTTCGTGCGAAATTTTGCATCGATCATGTCACCACTGACCAACCTCCTACGCGGCGATGCAGACCTTTCATCCTGGTCTTCTGACTGCGACGTCGCGTTTGCCACGCTCCGTAGTCTGCTAACATCTCCTCCAATTCTTCGGCATTTCGACTCAACAGCTGCAACGGAAGTTCACACAGACGCTAGTGGGGTTGGTCTAGGCGCCGTCCTCGCCCAACGCAAGCCGGGCTACTCCGAATACGTCGTCGCTTATGCGAGTCGCACACTTACTAAAGCTGAGGCCAATTACAGCGTCACTGAAAAAGAGTGCTTGGCGCTAGTGTGGGCGCTTCACAAGTTCCGCCCTTATTTGTACGGTCGCCCATTCGACCTGGTAACGGACCACCATGCACTTTGTTGGCTCGCCACATAGAAAGACCCTTCTGGCCGCCTAGCTCGGTGGGCACTGCAAATCCAGGAGTACGACATTCGTGTCATCTATCGCAGCGGACGCAAGCATTCTGACGCCGACGCCCTGTCGCGTTCGCCTTTACCTCCCGACTCGGCCTGCGGAACCACTGGTATCTCCATCGCATTTCTCGACCTCGACTCCTTTACCAGTGAACAACACAAGGACCCGTGGATCGCTTCTCTTTTAACTGTCTTTCTGGATCGTCAACCACTGCGGTACCACGATCTCTCCGACGTCAAGCTGCTCATTTCGCCATTCGTGATCGGCTACTACACCGACGCAACTACGCCCCCGAAGGTCGTAAGTGGCTCTTGGTTGTCCCGCGCAGCTTGCGATCACAAATCTGCGCCTCCTTTCACGACGATCCCCAATGTGGTCATGGCGGAGTTTTCAAAACTTACGAACGCATTCGCCATCGCTTCTACTGGCGCGGAATGTATAATTTCGTTCGAAAATTCGTTATGGGCTGTCCTGACTGTCAACGTCGCAAATCACGCCTTTCCACTCGTCCGGTGCGCTTCAACCGCTTCCGTGCCCTGCCAAACCTTTCGATCGGATCGGAATTGATCTCTATGGCCTTCTACCGACAACATCAGATGAAAATCAGTGGATTATAGTCGCTGTGGACCATTTAACACGCTACGCTGAGACCGCCGCCCTTCCAAGTGCCACTGTGCGGGACGTAGCATCCTTCATCCTTCATCGCTTCATATTACGACATGGTGCACCTCGAGAACTACTAAGCGATCGAGGTCGAGCCTTCCTATCAGAAGTCGTCACGTCTCTGCTTTCTGAATGCCATGTTGTTCATCGCAAGACCACGGCATACCACCCGCAGACTAACAGGCTCACGGAAAGATTTATCCGCACCCTTGGCGATATGCTCGCCATGTATGTGACATCCGATCATACTAACTGGGATCGCATTCTTCCATTCATTACGTTCGCATATAACACCGCGGCACAGTCTACCACTGGATTTTCACCTTTCTTTCTTCTTTATGAACGCGAACCATCCCACACCATCGATACTCTTCTTCCATACCGTCCTGACGCATCCGAATGCCCATCTGTGTCCGAAGCTGCCCGAAATGCGGAAGAGTGCCGTGAACTCGCACGCACCTTTACGTTTTGAGAACAACAGCGCCAGAAAGAAAACAACGTCGACTCTTCACAAAGCCCCAGCTATTCCCCGGGATCACTTGTATGGCTGGCTGTTCCTTACCAAACCCCCGGCATTTCCTCAAAACTCGTTCCAAAGTACGAGGGCCCATACCGCGTTTTGGAGCAAACCTCGCCGGTGAATTTTCTCATCGAGTCACTTTCCCCATCTGACGACATGCGCCGGCATGGACGTGACATCGTCCACGTTGCCCGCCTTAAGCCATATTATAGCCCTCTGCCTCCAGACTCTTAGGTGGCCAGGATGGCTCTTTTTCGGCGGGGGCAAATTGTGAAGAAGAAAGAGCGTCGTTGGCAAGCAACATCGCCACCGCTCGGGTACTGGGTGCTGGGCTTCGCTCGCTCGGCTCGTGCTGATCATCGCCGGCATCTGCTTGACCGTTGCTCTTGCACGATCGTTTTTCTCGCTTGGATGCAACTTCATGGTTTCATCAAATACCGCTGCACGAAGAGACTTCAAAAATATGCACGTTTGCCACTCCATTTGGGCGTTATCGCTTTCTGCGACTTCCCTTCGGAATAGCCTCGGCGTCGGAAGTTTTTCAAAAAACGGTTGGTCAGATTTTTGAGTCCATACCAGGTGTACGCGTATACGTCGATGACATTCTTATTTGGGGCGCGACGAGGGACGAGCACGATGAAAGGCTTCGGGCTGTCTTGGAAGCAGCGCTAAAAGCGGGGCTAACACTCAATGCCGCAAAGTGCGACATAGGAGTGTCCGAAGTTTGTTTCCTCGGCGATATCATATCCACAAAAGGAATACAGCCAAGCCCTGAATCCATAAACGTTATGCGGAATATGCCACCACAGACTGACAAGCATGGCGTACAACGCATGCTAGGCGTGGTGAATTATTTTTCCAAGTTCGTCCCAGCACTAGCTGAGAAGACTCTGCAAATGCGACAGCTAGTGAAAAAAGATGCCGCGTTCGAATGGACTGCCAATCATGCCAAGGAATGCGAACAACTCTGCGCCTGTTTAAGCAAGAAGCCGGTGCTTGCAATTTTCGATCCTGAGCGAGACACAAAGATAACGTCCGATGCGTCGCAGAATGACATAGGTTCCGCGCTAATGCAGCGTTATGATAACGCGTGGAAGCCAGTCGCTTATGCCTCGCGCGTGTTGACCGAGGCCCAGAAAAAGTATTCCCAGATCGAAAAAGAGGCGATGGCTGTTGTTTTCGGGTGCGAGAAATTCCATTACTTTGTGTACGGGCGTACCATTGCACTTGAAACGGATCACCACCCGCTGATTGTTATCGCACAGAAAGCTATCGGCGACATGCCACCGAGATTGCAGCGTTTTTTCTTGCTTTTGCTGAAATACCGCTTCCACCTGCAGTTCGTCCCCGGTAAAGAACTGGTTTTGGCCAACCTGCTGTCGAGGGCTTCCGTTGGACCACCAGACGAGGAGGCGGTCGAAGACGTCGAGATTCATGCCGTTACAACTGTGCAGGCACTGATCAGCGATGCCACGCAAGTACGACTGGCAAGGGAGACTCAAAACGACGGGTACTTGAGAACTGTCCTTGAGTGCCCGCAAAACAGGCAACCCGTGGACGGAGAACTCAAACCCTTCACCGGAGAACTCTAGGGGGTCAACGGCGTAATGCTCAAAGGATGCAAAGCTGTTATACCGCAAAGCATGCACCATGAGATGTTGAACAGGATTCATGATGGGCATATGGGAATAAACAAGTGCAAATCCCGAGCCCGCCGTTTAGTTTTCTGGCCAGGACTTTGCGCAGACGTCGAACAGGTTGTCAAGAATTGCGCAACTTGCAGAAAATATTCTTACAAAAAAGAAAGTGAGTCTCTCGTGATGAGACCCGTGCCGGAGCATGCGTGGTTTAGAGTAGGTGTCGACATTTTTCACTACGCCGGCGAAGCATTCCTGTGTGCGTATGACTCGCTATCCAATTTTCCAGAGGTAGAGCCTCTGTACGACACATTGCCTGCTACAGTTATTGAAAAGCTAAGCTCGATATTTGCACGATACGGAATACCGGCGGAAGTGTGCACCGACAACGGGCCGCAGTTTGCTAGCCGAGAATTTGCAGCATTCTCAAGAAAGTTTGACTTCAAGCATACCACATCGAGTCTTTTGTTTCCGCGATCAAACGGTCTGGCCGAGAAAGGAGTACAAATAGTGAAGAGAATTCTGAAAAAGACGAAGGAAGGACACAATGATTTCTGGTTGGGACTTTTGAATTACAGGGCCAGCCCATTGGACGACGGCCGGTCCCCAGGACAGCTGCTTCAAGGTCGGCGGCTACGCACGCCCCTGCCCGATTTCAACGAGGTCCCACACATGGCCGTACAGAAACACAGCTGTGCACGCCGAATGGGTCATCCACTCAAGCCATTGGCTGAAGGGCAAGTCACCCGCATACGTGGTAAGAACTGGGCAACAAAGGCCAAGGTGGTCAGCATGACGCGACCGAGGTCGTACCACGTCGTCACGGAAGACGGCAACGTTTTTCGGCGTAATCGACAGCACCTGCTCGCAACTACTGAGCCCTTCCACCCCTCCGCCGAAGACTTGGCCGATGAGAACGCCGATGCACCGATAGAGCAAGCTCCACCTCTGGTCCCGCGTTCGGAGGAGCCGCAAGTGCCCAGAAGATCGACCCGAGATAGGAGAGCACCCCGTCGACTAGGCTACGATGACAATTTTGTGCGAATTCCGTAGTTACGTTCTCTCTTGATGTTTATTTTGTTTTTCCTTCAGAAAAAGGAGGATGTATCGTGTTTAGGCGCTCCTGGGCGAGCGCACGTGCGCAGGCAGTCTACTGCGCACGCTATCTGTTTCCTTCTCTCCGCCTTGCACTGTATAAAACGAGTGCACAATAAACCAAGGCAATTCCTCGCTGGGAGACGGCTGGCATCGGTTCTTGATAAGTACGTAACAGGTAGAGCATCGGATACGTTATTCCAAGGTCACAGGTTCGAATCCTGCCGCTGGCAAGTTATCTTTTCGTACGCTTTTTTCTTCGCATTTACATACGACTGATTCTAATAACAACTCCTTTAATTCTCTTGGCATCACTGAGCGAGAGACGTTAGGCCGTCACCATAACGACGTAACTAGACTCGTAGCGAGAGGAGGGGGGAGTGCATTGCCCTGTGGGCCTGGGCCCTCTGCGAAATTCGCATGAAAGGTTTTTTTTTCACCAAGGAACCAAGGACAAATAACAAAAATAAAGAGTTTTAAGGCTTTGAACACGTGCCCCTCTCTTCACCGAAAAAAAAAAGAATTCCTTGCTACGGGCCTGGATGTACGATGTAGGCATATTTACCCTGAGGCCGCTGTTGTTCTCGAAGCAAAGGCGACTGATGATTCTGTACATCGGGAAAAGGAAGGTAGTCGACGCCAGCCAGAAGAAGCCGTACCGGTACCGCAGAACGTCTTCCGGGAAGTCAGGTATAGGAAAGCTTCTCATCGTGATCTGCAACAAAAATTAAATTCGAGGGTTCTTACGCACCAGCATTATGTAATGAATGCGAGGCACGCCATAGCAGAAAACTGCGGATTAATATTGACCACTAGGGCTTCTTTAAGATTCACCTAAATGTTAGCGCATGCGTGAAAGTAAAAAACCTGACGTCGATCCGTTTGGAGAATAAAGATCCAAATGGTGCTCTTGAATATCTTTGGCAAACAGACCCCACTGAAAAATATCTTGGCCCTAGTTTCAATCCCAAGATCAGGACAAACTTCTTAAAATAATTTTCTACGAATATTCTGCGCGGATTTTCTGGCAATACTTAGCAAAAAGGTGTGGAATGTCAACTACCTAACATCAACATTCAAGGATTGCGGATAAGTCTTTTCACTTGTGCGTTTTAGTTTATCGTCCTAATAATCATACGGTCGCCACGACCTGGCGTGATACCTGCATCCTCGGGCTGATCAGCGCAGGACCTTAGCAAGAAAACTGCCGCCAAGGGTACAGCGACAGTCGCCGTTGACGTCCATGCGTTTAACAACGCATGCAGTACGCTCAGGCTGCGTGAATGAACTGCACTAAAGTACATTTAGATGCAGCGTTTTTTTCCTTCAAAGATGTGCACCAGTTTGAGTGCATTGGTGCAAGTAGTACACGTTTTCATGATTAACCCCCACTTTCAGATGAAATACTAACATTCACTATGTCTTCCTTGTCCCGCTGTCTCAGGAAAGCACTGTTCAACGCCACCTGCATCTTGTAGGCTCTTTCTGCAAGTTGAAACAAAAAAAGAAACTGTTAAAAAACACAATGGTGCACCTAATTTACGGGCGGCTAGGAGTTTTGACTCTTGGAAGTATGATACTCAATGCAATTTCAACACCTAATAAAAAATTACATTTTAGAAAGTGATCAAGAGAGAGAGAGAGAAGCACCGGATATGACGCTCGAATAGAGTTTACAGACGAAGGTTTTCATGACTTACAAACTTCAGAGGTGTTCAAGTGTTGCGGGGCTCAGCACGTGGATAAAAGTCTAATGCTTGGCATGGATAAACGAGAAACATGGGATGGAGGCTTGCGCAAGGCGAAAGAAAGAAAGAGCATGCACGTACATGCCTTGCTTCGCTTGCCTTCCATTGACCAATAGACGGCTTTTTGGATACCTTTTAAAAACGATAGCCTTTCTTAGGATACTTCGACGCAAGAAAAGGCTTTATACCGGCTTTAATGAGTGCGGTTTTGTGCCCTATTTTGACAACACGTGCGTTCTACATTGTGACAGAAATTTGTCGGCCCGTCTGATTGTGGAGGCAGCATAAACGACCCGTGATGACTTAGAGTGCGTGAGCGCAGAATATATGCCACTCACGCAGAAAGACTTGCTTTTATTTTCGATGGTTTGGTTGAAAATAATGAATGAGTAATGTATGGCACGGTACGTGGCGTTTTTTGTTTTGTTTTGCCTTTCACTTTTTCTTTCTTTCACGCCTTTCTATATACATTGGCGTACCGCAATAGACGTTTAGAGGAAATAAGCGCGTGTGTCCTTCTCTCGTGCTCTCGTGTAAAAGCTCTGCGCTTCGTTAACGCGACAGATCCATACGAACTTGGTCAATTAATTGTTTATTAAGTCGATCAGTGGACTTTTTTTTCAAAGCTAGCAGATTTTAGTCCTCAAACGCAAAGATTGATAAGTCGACCAGTCTTTTCTAAGGCTGCAAAGAAGACCTGCAGGTCAACAGGTGGACTTTTTTTTCAAGGCTAGAATGCTCAAGCAATAAAGAAGAGAGATCAACAGGTGAACTTTTTTTTTCAACGCTAGAAGGTTCTAGCCTTAACGAAGACACGTGCACTTGTCGAACCACTGGCTCAAGCACTCAACATCTGTTTACGGATTTTTTTCATGAAACTTACAGTGTCACACACGTCCCGTTAATTAGGGAGGCGATCGCCGGGCTAATTCTAAGAGCCGAAGTATCGGCCCTCCGAACCGCACCACGAAAGCGTGGACAATTTAGAAGTGGTCCTTTTTGGCGCGCCAGCGGACGCCGGCTGTGGCCCAAAGAACAAGTCAGAGCCGAGAGTTGATAAACAAAACAAATACTATATTCTCAAAAATGGCAGATCGAAAACCATACACAAGAATGCACACTCCACAATAGTTACATACAATACGTCACCAAACAAACAACGTACTACACAGTACAATCAACCACTCTTGAAACAACGGACACAGACAACAATACGCACTACAATGCAGTCGCATGCATTGAACAACCAAGACACTTAAAGACTAAAGAGATATAAAATCTAGTCAGTCCAAAGTCCTTGGAACAAAAGTCTGGAGGATACTCTTCCGAGAATCACTCACTCAAAGTCCAGCGTTGTTGTCGGTCCGCGCCCTCGAAGTTTCTCTTCCAGGATACCTCGCGTCTTCAATTGGCCACTCTCCAAGCTTCAAACTTCTTCGCCCGAACACGTCGGCTTCACACACGCAGCTGTCGCCCGCGTCTTCGCTCGATAGCGGTAAACCCACGCTCTTGCCTGTAGCTCGAGCCGTCCCTACGGACCAAAAACTTCGCCGTCTACACGGCGGAATCTCTACGCACTCTGGCGCTCACTTCCGTCTCCTCCTGTTCTGTCACTACGGGCAGAACCTTCGCCGACTACACGGCGGAATTCCTACGCGCTCCGGCGCTAACTTTCCGTCTCCTCCTGATTTCTCGTCTCGGCCGCTCGGTTAAATACCTTGCGCGCGACATTCCAGATGTTTCTTGTCGTTTCGTCGGCGCGATGCGCAGCGAAGGCTGGGGAGAGGCACGAGACAGTTCGACTGCCCTCTCCGGAGGATGATTCACTTGGTCTGACCCCGCCTCCTTCGTTCTAGAAAAATCGCGGCCTTGCTGGGCCGCCGATGTGGGGTGAGGAGGATCGTCTGCGAAGCCGTGCTTCTGCGGGGAGAGCGCGCGCCCGGGAGACTTGGATGTTTGCTTTCTTTTTTTCTTCTTTTTACCTCGCGGCGTTTCTGCCGCCCGTTGTCGCAAGGATTTGGCGGCGCGCTCTTGTTTAGCGCTCGTTCTGTGACACTGCCCCCCACTTTAAGAATATTATCTCATAATATTCAAAACCCCACAGACGAGCGCGAACAGTCACCACACACTCTCACAGACTGTAACACCATCAGTCGCTCATGACACTTCACATTCACAATAGATCACTCAATACAATCTTACATTGTAGTTCAATTCCACAGCACATGACATATAACCACAGGTACATGCCTACAACACTTCATCACACATTCTAAACAATACAAACGTACAAAGTTCTGTCTATCCCACAATTATACAACACTATACATCACACCATCGCACAGAACACTGACTCGCTCGACATACACTTGAGACACAGGATAAAAAGAACATTAACACAACATATGTCACTCAGCCCTGCCAAACACATTCTGATTCCACCTCAGCACCTATACCGTGTGTTTCGAGCGGCGCTTGCGTCCCTTCTTGCGGTGCTCGCTCGATCTATTCTTGTGTTTCCACGTTCTTTTAAGGCGAGCCCTTTCCCACGACGATATCTGAGGCGTCGTCTCAGCCATCGTTGTCTCTTCCGACACCGTTAACGCGTCATTACATTCGACGGGTCCTGTCTCTTTATTTACCCGCTTGATAATGCCTCTACATTTTGCCCGGCTGGCCGACTACGTCTCCTTTACACTGTCGGTCGGTTGAGGTCGTGCCGACGTAAGTCCGGTTGCTCGGCCCGCGAACTTATTCGACACGATCGTCTTCTCCTTCGCTGTCTCTTGCGCCGCAGCTTCACCTTGTGCTCTAGTGAGATCCGTCACGGGATGCTCCTCCCTTGTATCTCGCGGCCGCTGTGTTGGCGAGGGCTCTATCTTCGGGTCTTCTCCCAAACATTCTGGATCATTCGGCCCCCGCGCCCCGACGATGTTTCCGATGACAAGGTCATACAGGGGGGTCGTCATGCATAGAGCTGTAACCTTCCCGCTGAAGTACGGTGTTTCAACCTCAATTTCTGCTTCGGGAAGCATCCGAACCGTACGGTCAATTAAGCAAACCGGTTTCGTTTTGCCTGTTAACTCCCTTTCCCGTACCAAATCTCTCCGCACGATAACAGTGGAGCTACCGGTATCTCTTAACACCGTAATCTTTTTGTCCGCAACTTTTCCAGGCAGCGTTGGCATTCCTTTCGTAACACCGGTTGGC